ATTAATTTCTAAACTTCCTGAATGCAACACCAAGGAACCCAGTTACTATATCACCACCTCCTTAACTCAACTGCTTATTTTCCTGGGCTCGTGTGAATAGTGCTTGAGATCAGAAAAAAATGCAGCTTCTTGAAGGAGGCAACAAATACAGTGAGCCTGCCCATGCCTGATTCAGAACAGCTTCAGATCAGAATTATTGCACACATCTTACTAAGGTTCTTTAAAAAAGAGGAACAAAATTCTAAGGTATATAGAGTAGCTTCTATGGGGTTACCTGTCAGTTCTTAGACGAGACATATTTAACTTTAATTTCATCAATCACTTTATATAGTTATCTTTTTATTGTTTACTTATTAGTCAACTACAATTGTCTTATCAAGAACAAACAGCTAATTTAGTCATTAATACTTACTTTCAATCTATAATCTATAACAGAGCGTACCTTTATTAAGACCAAGCAAAATAATGCATACCATTACAAATAATCATTCAATGAAGGTAATCAAGACACTATTTCCTGACAGATGCATGGAAGACCCAAAGACCCATGTATTCCAAGGGTACTACTTCTACAGAAAAACAAGGACAAATGAAAACCGAAACAAGAGCTAGAGCAATTGATGAAAGCAAGAAGAAAAGGAAAGGATCAAAGAAGCTGGACAGAGGAAGAAAGTGGAAGAGACAGACAGGACTAGAGGAAGCAACCTTCAACCAAGACTGCACTTGACACTTTGGAGGGCCAGTAATAAGTGGCAAAATGATATAAAGTGGGCAAGCCTGAGACTTTCCATTTGTTGGGGAGGATTATGTATTTTTTCAATAATGTGAACTTACTTTAATTACACTTTTGAAGGGTTTTTTTTCCTACCTCAAAAGTTGGAAAACCCACTGCTTTCTGGCAAAAGTGAATTCCAGAGACTGCAAATAAACTGTTCTGGAAACACATATGACTACTCGTGGACTAAGCAAACACTGAATGAAGTAGGAACTAATGCAGACAAGGAGAAAAAGAATATTGAGAGGCAGATAGACCAAGTGTCAGTAAAAGATACAGAAGGGCAGATAAAATTATGAGAAAAGTAATCCTCATGGGTTCAGACTACCAAACATGAATGTGAGACAGTAACTGCAAATAGCAACATTTCTTTGGTAAGTTAGCCAAAGAACTCAGCTAAAATTAAATATCATTTTTTCAAATGAATATCATTTTGGGAGGGGGGAATCACTCTATATTCCCCATTAATTTGCATAATTCCTGTTTATTCTGGTTTTCCAGACAGATAGGATAAGGTTCCTCCCACTGAATGGAGAATATGTGCTGTGTTAATACTTTCTCAGTGAAAAATTAAAGGAACAGTGGAATGGAGAAAGGAAAGCAATGGCAACTTTTCTCCTTTGAAATTTATCTGCACCATAGGAGTTTAGGGATTAGCATTAAACTCCAAGAGAGTAGGAAGGATTTAAAGGTCAATTTAATTAGCTTGTTCTAATCTCCAATCTTTTCTACCTCTCATTGGTATATTAATATCACTAAATTATAATTACTAATTTCAGAAAATTAAAATATTATTTATGCCAGCACATAACATATTTAATCTATATACTGGCTATATGCTAATAGTTGATATTAAAGGGGCTTTCAACAAAACTAAAGGTTTTTTTAAAAAAACAGAGGTAAAAGGCCATACAATATTTTTTGTGTGATAAATTATGATAACTGATTTATAAAAGTCAGAATGAATAAAATTTTGAGCTGAAATGATTAAGTCAAATAATACCTGAATTGGGGAGGGTAATTTGAAATGGAATGACCATGGTAAAGGCACTGGTGAAAAAAATATAGCATGCTTCTGCTGGATGTCCTGGTTGTACAATGCCCCTTCCTACTCAGTTGCCTTTCTGGAGCTTCACTTGACGTCCACAAACCCAAAACATGAATCTGATAACTTAAGGCAGAAGTGCACAATTTCTGTCATGTAGAAGATCACCCGTGGCCTTTGAGGGACATGCCACAAAAAGTAAACAGGATTCCCTAGAGTACTTTCCTAAATTGATTCATTCCCTAGAAGGGTAAAAAGAAGGCACTAAACCTGAAAGTAGATCCTGACAGAAAGTATATGGAATCTTTTTTTCTTTTTTTTTAAAGAAAAAAAAGTTTTCTTTTCTAGTTTTCTCCAACTTCAACCTGGTGTACTGCTACAACTCCAGGAGATTCCAGACAGCACTGCTGTTGACCCCACTAGCTAGGAATTCTGAGAGTTATCAGTGCAACTGCGCAATTCTCATTAAGTTAAATTAAATGTGTCTGGAGATGGGTGAAAGCACCAAATGCAATAATAAAAGCCATGCTCTATTTTAAAATCCTCAGTATTCTTTATAACTGAAAAAAATAGGATATGGTATGCAAAAAAACATGCAGTGGGGAGACAGTCATTAAGTAACCCTCTGTAATACAGACCTTTTCAATTTACTTCTTTCCTGATAATTCCCATAATTGCTATCAGCATAAGGAATGGCTATTGAAGGGGTTAAGTAGCACTGTAGCCCTGCATCATTGCAGGGCACCAGATTTGGGAAGACTGCACTGGGGGAAAGGGACAATATAATAAAACTGGAAGTATCCCTGTCTTTTGGGAAGATTTTAAAACAATGCTAAAAGACATTAGTCAATTGCCTGCTTTCACAGAGATATAAATAAGATGCAGAGAAGCAGTTTAGCCCACATGTCTTGCAAAATATGCAGAGAATGTGGCCTTTTTAACCTCCTCCTCTCATGAACAAATTTGCTGCTCAGGACTGGAAAGGAAATTACACTCTTGACTTTGAGAGATAAAAAATATGGTAAAAAATCCAGAAGATAGAATTGTCAGTACTATGAAAAAAGTTTGAAGAGTGACTCCATCTTAATACTGAGACAGGAAATTCAGTTTGCTGAGCAAAGCAACTCATTTCCAAATGAGATGTTACCATTTCTTTGTAAGCACACTGATTACATCCAGTAAGCCTTTTGCTTGATAAAGGTCAAAGTCTTCTACTAATGACTGTCCTAGTTTTATGACAGTGCTCTGACAGCTATTGATTGGGTCTCTCAGTGGTCTGAAAAGACAATCAGCTCAATTCAAATCAAGATCATGTAGCCTTTTCAGTTTATGTAAACATTTGAATAATTAACACTCTGCAACACCTTCAAAAACCATGTGGGTAGAACATTCAAGAACGCTATTCAAGTATTTGTTATTTCCAAGTGAACTGAGCGGAGTAAAACTAGGCATGACCTATTTAGAATAGATGTCCTTATATAGAAATTAAATGTGACAACTTGTAGAATTTAAACTATTAAAAAGGAAATAAAATATCAGTAACAGCACTAGTCTGCATTTTGTAACTACAAGGTTTCAACTACTTTACAAAATGAATTTCCGTTTGAGGGCAATGGCTACAGCTGATCTATAATACTGACTATTCTTGAATTGCATGTTAGGAACCCACTGTGTCTGAAACAACTTATCAAAGATATCTACTGAGATTCCAAAGACATTTGGGGAGAACAGTTGTTTCAATTACATTGACATGGCCTATTAAGCAACCTGGGAAGTCTGCCATTTTGCTGTGTTTGCCCTGCACTGTTCAATGCTAATAGCATAGCTGAGAATTAATTTAGGTTGGTATTCCCAAGCCACATGTTTTCAAGTATTTAAAATCAGAGTTATTATAAAAGATGGGTATAGAAAAAATCTGAGTGGCAAACCCACTCACCTAAATTGAAGACAAAACCCTTAATCTCTGGCCTCTCCAGCTGAAAAGGGAAGAAGCAGCTCATAAAACACCAAAGCTGGTGATCAGAGAGGATAATACTGGATCAGGTGGACCAATAGTCAGAACTGATATAAAGGCAACATCCTGAATTACCTTCTGTCTCAGATTTCAAATGAAATCAGTTTCGTCTACAACAAAAGCCACTGTGTATATCAAATTAAATCTCACTATTCTACCTCCTCCAGAAACAATTTTTCCAACCTTAAAATTTGAGGATGGGAGAAAAGTCCTGAGTTAAGGAACCAATGTTTGTTTCCTAAATCAAATGTACACAGGAGTGCAACATTTTTTTTTAAATGACCTGGTCTGAAGCATGTACAGACAGACCCTCAATCAGACTTCACAAGATACTTAAGGAATAATAAAGTAAAGCCATACTTAGACTGCCAAAGATAATGCAAAACTAGGTGGTTTATTTGCATTTATCTTTAGACACACCTCTGAAAAGATACCATGACCACATACAGTATTTCTGTATACAGTCACAACATCCCAATTTATTTGTAAAGACAATTACAAACACAACATGACAAAACAGTAGTGGTTATCAGATCATATTAGCTAACAGTGAAACAAGAGGAAGTGGCAGCCCCACTGGTAATTTAAGAGTTGCAAAACAGAAGTAGAAAAAGTATTCTCTGTAGCTGAAATGCTCTCAATAAGAGGGAGGGAGGGAGGACTCCTATTTAAATTGTTAAATTTTAGTTTCATAGCAATAGCTTGAGAATACTCTGAAATTTACTTTGAAATTCTAAGTTCTAATCATACTTCTTCCAACAACTGAGAGGAAAAGCCCTTACAAAGAGAAAGGACAACTGGTGTCCTCCAGGTATCTTGGACTAGAGTGCCAATTGGCTGAGAGACAATAACTGCAGATTATAGGAGTTTGAGCCCAACACAACACAGCTGGCTTCTTACCCATGACTTGTTATATTCACTGCTAATTGTTTAGAATCATGGGGGTGTAGTGAACTAAAGAAAGGAAATTTAGAAAGCAAACACACCCATTAAACAATCTTACTTGTCTCACAATTATCAGATGAGTTTATATCTGGAAATTCGCAAAGCGGTTTACTCTTATTAAGCCTAGATCCCACCTTTCATTCCATCTGCCCATCTCCCAAGAATACCTAACCAGACATCCCATAAATATCAGACTTATTTAACATGATAAACCAGCCTACCTGAAAATCCTGATCATCAATCCCAAATCTCTCTCGCAAATTACGAAAAACCATTGGGCAATATTCTTTGAATTTGAAATGGCTTGGCATATTTTCTCTGAAAAAGAGATTTGAAACACAGTGTGAGGGATTGTATATAATGATGAATATACAGCCATATATTCTTTCTCATCTTTCAGGTCAAGAATACACCCAAACACAGTTGTCATTATTCTTACTTAAAAGCCTGAAAAATTGCTGTATCCCAAAGACCTTTGCACCAGGGTTCCAAATGTCACATTTTGCCTAATCTTAGGTCCATTTTCAGCCAGGGAAAGATGGAGCTAAAACTATTCTCAGAGATCTGTATGAGGGAGTTTTGGGTGATATAGACAGATAACTGAGTGAATGCGGCTCAAAACTTCATGCAGGTCATGCGTGGCCACCTCTTCTTTACAAGAGTCTATCTAGTTAGATACAGTTAAGACTAGATGTTCAGTGGCATAGTGAACACAAAATGCCTAAAATTTAAGAAGTCAAGGACACAAAGCATTGGATTACAGAATACCCAGAATGATTCACATTCAAATGATTAAAGCAGCCATCTCTTTTTTTAGGCTTACATGAAGCCTGAAAAAGATGTGCTTCAAAGAGGTCCAGT